TTCTTTACATCGTGGTGGCAATACGGACATTCCTCCTTTATCTTAGGCGCAAACCGCTTGGCTTGCTGCTTAGCCGCTTGGTTGTGAGCCCAGACCTGTCCATGCATTCGTGCATAGTGCTGAGTGAGAGATCTGCTAGAGGGCATGTGTCGGGAGCAAAGCGCACAGCGATCACTCAGGTGAGTGGACACCTGCTCAGGCGGGCTCTGCCCCGAATTGAGGGCCTCGCTCCAATCTGCATGATTGAAGGCACGCTCCTGCTTCGGCACATCGTAAGGAGGCATAGTGAGTTCATGCCCTTTGTGTTGCAACAGTTCGGCTCGAACACAAGCAAGTTGAGTAAGGACCGGACAGTGTCTCGCATGATGTTTTGCTCTGGTGCCATTGCAGAAGGCCTCTGCTCCACACATCCTGCAGCCTGACGTGGCAACATGTCCCGCATATTTGGTCTGCAGATGTCCAGGAGCATGGAAGCTGAGTCACCAAGCCTTTGCCAAGCAACGGGTGGGATGCATGTTTTTGGGGCCCAAAGGGAAAGGCTACGAGTCACGAAATCATCCCTTGGCCAACATGTTGTCAATGTTTGAAAGCTTCAAGTCACACGAGATGACAAGAGCATAGCACAGCAGACACATGTTCTTTTGCTTGAGTTGGAAGAAAGGTCTGAGCCCGCCGTGCCCATGTACCCCGTGCGCTGATTGAGGTTTTCTCTTGAAGGCATCAGGTGGACAGAGCATGGCCCAGTCAGCAGCAAGTCCAGATGCAAGCCTGGAACAACAGGTTATGAGCATCCAAGGCTCAGCTGCGCAGGGCTCCGCTGTCATGAATGGCACCTCAAGTACCAATGGGTATGGTGCGACGAATTCGAGCCCGATCCCGCCGCCACCTCGTGAAGATGAACAACAAGTTGAAGCTTCGGGATCGGGGAGGGCAAGTGGAAAAGGGCTAGAGGCACGGGATGGTGAAGTGGATGCTGGACGGAGCGCAGTGGTGAGTCCAGAAGTAGAAGCTTCGGGTGGACAGACGGAGCCAATACGCCCCGTGGACTACGACGTCGCCTACGCGGAGACCGCTGTGTTTCAAGGAGCAGAATACTTCACGCCGAGATCGCGGACATCTATGGCACCATGGGGACCAATCTCCCAGTTGGAAACGTTGCCATCAGGATGGTCGTGGATCTCAAGGGTGGGAGCACGGATTATGGGGGCAATTGGCTCCAATGAGCTGGTGCCGAGTCCTTTGGCATCCCCACCTCGACAGGGAAGCGCGCCCTCTACAACAACGCCTCCGAGGCAGAGGACAAGGGGTCAAAACCCAACCCCGCCGTCGTCAAGTGGACTGTCAGTGGAGGCGGTGCAAGCTGAGGTGCAACGTCAGCTGGGTCCTTTGTAGGATCGACTGGAGATGGCTGAGCAACGAAATAGCATGTTGGAGAACCAGCTGAGGCAGCAAAGGACGGCAGTTCAAGCACCCGCTAACGCCTCGAGAGCAAGCCTGGAGATACCACCCAAGGCAGATTCCTCTGCGTGGTCTTCGATGCTGGGTCTTCCTCGCCCCGACGCAGCCCTACCCCCAAGCCTGCCTCGCGGAACTTCAAAGTGCTCAAGGGTTAAGCGCCGGTCCTCCTGGAGAAGTTCAAGGCTTCAAGAATCACGAGGCGTTCACCAAAAAGAACCACATCATCCTGGAGGAATAGGAGGGAGTTTGGCTTCGGTTGCGGAAGAGACAGTCGGGGTCATTGGTCAGCCGTCTAAAGACCAGATGACCCGGGAGGCATTTCGACGTGACCCAGTTCTGGGAAGAGAAGGCTCGAGCGCTCACCATGGCCATCACGGCGGAGGTACTGGGAGTTTCGAGGGTGTTTACGATGGCAACGCTAAGCATCAAGATGGTGGTCTCCCACGGCAGCAACAGCCGTATGGGGACACCGAGGCTGAAACTGCAGGAGGGCGAGGTCTTTTGGGGTCTTTGTTCTCGAGGAGCAGGGGACGATCGCCATCACCGCCGCCCGACCATGGAAGTTTAACGTCTACGCCTGTGATCGAGGCCATAGCCCGGGGAGTCCGGCAACTACAGGAGCTCCAGCAGCGCAATCTTCAAGAAGCACGTGGAGCAGAATCTCCTGGAGGAACAGAGACGGTGAAAGCCCGGGCTGCAAGCTTTGCTGGGATTGGCGAGCCCTGGAACCAAGGACGCACCACTGGTCTTCCAAGACTGGATCGAGGTGATCTCCACCGGGATGAAGGACTTGAGCGAAAACAGTGGGGCTTGGTGGGAGGCAGTTCTTCGCACGGTCGAAGAATCGTACGCCAAGTGGCTGGGAGCCACGCAGCTGGAGCGCCTGATGATCCAGCCGGAGAACGCGGACTATGCGGTGAAAGGAAGGTGGACAAGGGTCAATGCCAGGGCATGTCAGTTGCTTCTCAACGCGGTGCCGGAGGGTTCGCTGGGACCTAATCGCGAGGAGGGCAACGCAGGATGTCACTCAGCTGATGTTCCGGTTGTTCGTGCTGTATCAGCCGGGAGGATCATCGGAGCGTGGGCGCACCTTGGCACAGCTGCAAACGCCACCCCAGGGCACCACTGTCGTGGAGACGCTGGAAATCTTGCGTGGTTGGCCTCGACATCTACGCCGGTGCCAACAACTGGGGATGAGTGCCCCGGATCCAACGGTCCTGGCAAAGGGCGTGGACATGGCCACGTCGAAGGTCATATCAGGGAGCCCGGACGCCCACTTTCGGACGCAGCTCCTTCGAACCTCTTTGCGACTGGATGCAAAGCCTACACTTCGCAACGTGGAGGACTACCAGAGGCACCTGCAGGCGGAGGTAGAGCAGATGGCAGCTGCATATGGACGCCAATCCAAAGATCAGGGCAACCTCCACGTCGTCTGGTCCAGGCCAAACAACAACAGCGCCGCCTTCGTCACCTACGCCGTCATCTGGAAAAGACAACAATGAGACATCGTGTAGGTACTTTGTGAAGGCTTCGGGATGCAGAAGGAAAGCATGATTTGGCCAGTTTCTCCAAGGATCAACGCATGAAAAAGTGTCTGGCGTGTGGCGCTGAAGGTCACAGAGCACGAGAATGCCCAACGAAGGGAGGTGCAAAGCGACTGCCTGCCAAGCGAGAGGAAGGGCCAGAACGTTCTCCAGATCGTCCTCAACTACAACCTTCTAACCCGAAGATCGCTGAGATGCAGACTGCAGTCGCCGAGGGGATCCCTTCGTCCTCATCCAGCACGATTACGTCATCAACTGGGTCGTCAATGCCATCCTCAGCAACGAATGCGGGTGGCACCGAAGGTGTACAAACCACACCTGGAGAGCCTGTATGGACCTTGGGCAACTTGATGCAAGCGGCCCAGCAGGTGATGATGGCTAAGAGTGCCGGGGAAAGGGGCGACATGAAGCTCAAGGCGGTGAAGGTTGTCGAGCTGAACGCGACCAACATTCAAGGGAGCTCGGAACCAATGGCTCTTGCTGACACAGGAGCAACGCACCCCTTACGTCGTCCACATTCAGAAGAGGAATGGGAACAAAGTGCGTGGGTTAATGTAATTCTGGCCGGCGGCGAGCAGGTGAAGATGAAGATGAATACCGCAGGCACACTGTTGTTGGGTGCTGAGGAGTTATCCGGGGACGCCGCTTCGAATGCCATCGTTCCGGTGGGTGAGCTGGTGAAGACCCTGGGGTATCGATTGGAGTGGGGGCCGTCGAGTTGCCACCTGGTGGGCCCAGATGGGACCATTGTGCGCTTGTCAACCAAGGAAGGTTGCCCTCATATCTCCGAGGCTCGGGCTTTGGAACTCATCTCGAAGATCGAAAGGAAGAAGCTGGACCAGTTCACCACGGAGGCCAGGGTGCAGGCGATGGCAAGGACGTTGGACAAGTCATGGTTTGACTACTTGAGCGAGGCCTGCTATGGACATTCGGGCCAAGAGGACCGGGCGGTGAGTGCGGCCCCGTTCTTGAAGGGCATCCCGGAGGAGGCGTTGTATGGCTTGGCAGCGGATGTGGAGAATGAGGACGGATGGGAGATCTTGAAGAAGCTGACCTTCCTCAACCGCAGGCAACGCCGACGATTGTGGACCTCGAGGAGTTGGGTGGTCCACCTCTTCGCTGGGAAGAAGAAGAAGGACGTGTTCAGTTGGCTAAACGATGGAGACCGAGTCCTCTTGGAGCTGGACGCGAGGTCGCAAGCGCACAATTTGTTGGAGGATAGTCTGTGGCGGGCACTGTCGTGGGCGGCATCGCAAGATCGCGGCAATCATCGGGGGGCCACCTTGCAGGACCTTCAGCCGCCTTCGGTTCAGGGAGCCGGGGCCAACGCCAGTGCGATCTCGAGCAGAACCGTACGGCTGGCCGACGCAGTCGGCAGGGGAGAGAATGCAAGTGATACGGGACACCAAGCTGTTTGTGCGCATGCTCTGGCTTCATGCAAAATCGACAGCGGGAAGGCTGCAGAGCCTTGGTCGGAGGATGTCAATGTCGACGGTGGCGTTTGTCATTGAGCAGCCTCAAGATCCTCAGGAATACCTGCCCGCCACCGCTCCAAACTGGAGCGAGCTTCCGTCTTTCTGGGACACGGAGTTGTGGAAGGGATATTCAGCGGAGGCGGGGCTCACTGAAGTCAGCTTCGAGCAGGGCGCCTATGGACACAAAACCACCAAGCCGACGACATTGGGTACAAACTTGATGTCCCTGGCAGTACTCAGAGGGGGAAAGACGAACGGGGTCTTGGAGCCCTATGACCAGTCCTGTTTAGTACCCGCCAGCAATTCCAATGTGAAGTTGAAAATGATGAGTAATATATATATATATATATATATATATATAAGTATATGTATATATACACACATGTTGTGGATAAAACATCGTGTTGATTTATAGCCAATGTACTAACCTTCATACATTTTCAGCATTCAGTCAATATCTGAATGTTGATCATAACCAACTCCGTGAACCCAGAACACCAAGCTGTTGCAGTTATCAGCTCAGGAGCACCACACCTGGTTCGACGTCGTGCGTGCTCTTCGGCCAAGCAAGGGCTAGGGTTTGGGGTTGCATGGGTTTCTTTGGCCTACAGCCGGCAGCGATAGCTGCGATGAATAGCCAAGGGCAGGGACGCAAGACTTGTGTGGCAGCTGGCGCAGGGTATTCAAGAAAACTCTTAAGGAGTCATGACTGGACCTCACAACATGCAGACCCAAAACGATTTCCTGGTATGCGCAGTTGCAACCTGCTCTTGACTTGAAGCCTTTTGCGCGCCCACGCCAAACCTCAACGTGCAACCTTTAAACCACGTAACCCTGAGCCTTGCTTGTGTGAGGATTTGGAGCAAGATGATGCTCCGACAGAGGAGGGTCAGAAGATGCTCGTCAGAATCAGGGCAGCTGAGGAAGGTTTTGCTCGGAATTTGGGGAAGGCCAGGGAGGGTGAGGGCAGGCCTTCGGTCTGGGTCAACATTCCGCTTCAAGCACTACGGCAAGTGTTACTCTGGCTGTGACATCACCATGTAGAGCTGTGTGCATTCAATTCTGCTGCCTTGGATCGACAGTCCACAATCACGCTTTTCTAGCTCTGCTAACGGCCTAAAGATTTGAGGCTTGTTCCTGTGAGCCTTCTGAAATTCATCCGCAGCAAGTGCGACTCGGATGCAGAAATGTGCAGAACGGTTTACCAGATCCATCTGTTTGAGGCTATGAGGTCGCGGCATGGTTGGGGTAGACGGGTTCAGGGCTTGGGCTCTAAATGCGTGTCAGCAGGAGCCATGATGAAACACATGAGCTCAAATCACGCGGCAGAGCCAAAGGCCTTAAAGTTAACACTAAATCCTGGACCCCGAACCCCTCGGTGACATTGCGAGGCGTCCACATCCACGATGTGAGAATGGACTTGCAGTTGCGGAGGACATGGATTCAGCCGTCCGGGTGTCTGAGATCCTGGCCATTCCGGGCCCGCGGATACGAGTCGTAAGGTTTGGGGTTACCAGTTGGGCGTCATCACTGGCCGTGGATGGATGTGTGTATTGTCACGGTCAGCTGGCCCGATGGTAATCGTTCGAGGGTGAAGTTAATTTCAGCATCCTTGGCCTAGCAGGATTCGTTTGGCAGGGATGCCCAGGAGCTGCCTTAAGCAATGCCTCTATCGTGTGCCTTGATCCGAAATGAAAGCCAGGAGGCTGCTTAACGAGCCTGTCTTCCTTTTGCGGTTTCCGACACTTGGAATGCCTAAGCTGGGTCAGGATTATAACCCTAAAGTCTAAAGACGGTTTAGGCTTCAGGTTTCGGGCTTAACCTGCTGTATCGAAGACGTACTCTGCACCAGGGCATAATCTGTAATGTAGAACATCTTTTATACCCCCAAACAAAACCCTAACCCTATGCCCAACCCTATACCCTAGGCCTTAGGGGTCTAGGGTTTACGGCTTAGGCTTTGAGGATTGTGGGTTTAGGGTTCGGGTTTTGGGATGAGGGTTTAGGGTGAGGCTGTGGGGTTTTGGGGTTTAGGGATTTTGGGGAAAACGGTTTTAGGGCTGAGGGTCCAGGTGAGGGTCTAGGCCCTAACCCTAAACACTATACCATGATGTCAAACATGCTTGAATGTCTATATGCTCTGGAATCTAAAATCGTAAACGCTTGCGTGCGGCGCCTCTCAGCCATGAGGCCCAAACCGAAATCCGAAGCCCAACACATGCGCAGCAGAGCCTTCAACATTCGACGTGGGCATGCGTGCTTCGAAATTCCAACGCTTGGAGGATCCCGATAAGCCCTAATCTAAGTCCTTAGCATCGTTGGAAGCAAAACCCTCGATGGCTCGACCCTGAACCGGAAAGCCTCGTTTAGAATAACAATTCTGTGTGTGATCCCAACTTTTCGTATTATCGTCATTGAACTTTGCCCGGCTTAGAGCCATGTCTAGCAGCTCCTCCTTCTTGGGGGCCCTTTGACCGTACTTGTACACTGGTCGAACATATGGACTTCTGCTTGCATCTTGCTAGGGGCTTTGCCGTACCGCCCTGCACCGTCGCAAGTGCACAAACCCAGGACACTTGCTCTTCGATGTTGGCTGGCGCTGCTGCAGGCCTTCGTGTACCCCTGCTCGGGGTCAGAAGCCAAATTTGGGCGTAACCCTAGCGCACCCAAGACCTGGCTTCTGGGTCGTTAAGAAATTTGAGAACTTTGGGGCTTCAGTGAGTTTCAGGTCTTGAAGTTTGAGCTTCTCCACTGCCACGAAGTCCTAGATTTCGGACAGCTCCTTAGTAAAGCCCAAATCACCCTTAGCCCCAGCAAACTGGAACCCTCAACGCCCTGGCCCTAGGTCCTGGACGAGATACAGAAGAACGATCAGCACGTGCCCTTTCGGAGGGCAGAGCGGGGTTGGGAATTTACAGGCGCTCAAGTTTAGAACTTTCCGTTACAGTTTCAAAGTTCAGAGGTCAATCGAAGCTTTGCATCACCCACCAACCCCAGAGTAAGAGGCCATGCTCCAGCACTTGCGTTAAGGGAAGCCTCATGCCGCAACCTCCGTGCCAAAAGGGGATGAACTCAGCCTGTCAGGAGCTGAAGGGCTGCGCCGGGTTGGAAACACACGTGTCCCCCCAACCGCACCTACAGCATCTCGGCCAAGGCTCAAGTGCCCATGATGCGTTGACCGCCACCAACCCCCTGTGCTGCTGAAGCCCTCCAGAATGCGTTTGCATCTAACAGTAGATGATTAAACGACGTTAATTGCATTGTATAAGTCACTCCGGACGGCATTAAATCCGGATTCCAGACAAGGAATGGAACAAGGAAAGTCATCTAGGGTAGTTGCGTGCAGCTGACAAGTTATTGTCCAGCACGCCGAATTCTATTCTTGGGGTCGAATTATTCAGAAACAGTTCCAGGAGTTTCAGTATTCCAACTACTTCAATCAATTCCTCGAACCATCGCTCTGTCGCGAGGCCTTCGCGAACAAATGAACATGATTGTAGAATGTTGACCTTCGAGTCATAGCCCTCTCCCAGCCCCGGTCCATTGATTCAATCCCCCCTTCAGGCCCAGAGTCGGGCTCTCCTTTTTGTTTTAAATGGGACCCTGTATGCTATCTCAAGCCCTTCTGCAGTCTCTAGTTTCAAATAGGGCTCCATCTCCTGCAGTCTCCTCTTCAGTCCTCAAGAACCCGCAGTCTCCAGTTTGAGGTTCAGCCCCCGCAGCCTCTACGGTGAGTTAGGCCTCAAGGCCTTGCAGTCTCTTGTTAGGGCTCCAGCCCCTGCAGTCTCTCGTTTAGGCCTCAAAACCCTGCATTCAGCAAACGCTCAAAGCCTAAGCATTGATCGGAAGGTGACCTCTGCAAACACCTCAAAAACGTTCTCGATTGAGGGTGGTATATGATTGAGTTCCGGGCCTGAGGGATCTTAATTAAGGGCTGGGTATAAGTCTAAAGTGGGCTGTAGTTGGTTCTGGAATACAGTTAGGACTCCAGAATAGGAGTTCAGTTAGAGTGTTCGATGGGGGGAACTGGGAGGGCTGAATATTCTTTCAAGCTCGTTCATTGACTTCTGGATACAAACTTCTTCTCAGAAACACATCCCAGGAATGCAGTCAATCCATTTAAGTCTGTCAGCCAGGTTCTTCTTGTGAATCCTGCTTACTGTCTTGCGAAAGGAACTTAATCAATAGAATCAACTAATTCCCCAAGCAGTGTTAGCAATATGGGTTCCCCCGTTCAGGGTCAGGACTATTGAGTTGAGTTGTTGAAATCGCGCTCCCATCTCCTTTTTGGCCCCGAGGTGCATCCTGGACCCGAAACCCACCCCTAACCCGAACCAAGCTTCAAATCCTGAACTACTCAAGCTTGATCAAACTCCTCACACGAGAAACCTTGACCCCAAACCCAAGACCCCAAACCCCAATCAGTCCAAAACCCAAAACTCTACCCCAAGCCCCTTGAACCTCCAAGCAGGTACAACTGCGGGAGTTCTTCGACCGTCCTGTTGAGGCCGATGTGTTCCGCAGCGAGGGGCTCAGCAAAGGATCCCAAAATGAACGATTTAGCGTTGAGGCGTGTGTTGAATCTTATTTTCTTGGAAGCGGCCCCTCAGGGGTTTGGGCAGCGTAGCTAGCCCTGAGCCTGGAAGCCGATCCCTAGAACGCTAAACCTCCCATCCCCTTCACAAGCTCCCCACTTAGTAACCCTAAGCATCCCCAAGCCATAAACTTGCATAATCACTGCATTGTTTTAAGCCTGTCGGAAAGAGGGCTCTTTGGTGGCTTTGGCTCCGGTTTTACGGGTTTTTTCTCCTGCCGATGGATATTTCTCTGAACTGCAATAGGGCTTAGGGAGGGTCACAGCGACTCCTTGCAAAGCTCGCGATCTTTTTTCTCAGCTTGAAATGAATAGCTTGACAATGAATTTATTCCACTCCAAAGCTCTCTCGTCTTATGAGGAATTTCTGAAACATGAAGCCCTTTGTCGATTCGCTTGTTGTGGCTTTCGGGCCCTAGAAGCCAGTCGGAACGTTGACCAGGGGCTTGACCTGGTTCCGGAGCTAACGTCGGAGTTTGAAGCTTAGGGTGTTTGCTTCACAGGCTTGGGACATAGAAGGGGTCTGACTCTAAAGTTGAAAGTACAGTCTGAGAAGGTCAATCACACCTCCAATGTCAACCGTTGCCGGCATTCAAATATGAGTTCCTTGTAGTTGAAAGCCTTCAGGTGTATAGGTAGGCCGTGGACGCAGTTGCGCTGTAAAAGGTGGCCTCTGTTCAAAAGAAGTACTTAGCAGACAAACGCAGTGACTCTAATCTGGGCTTTCTCCGAAAGCCGTGTATGTGTGTTGCGGTGTCTCCTCGTGATATGGCTGTTGAGTGCATGGACCCTTAAATCCCTTAGCTCCCATTGATTTCACGGGCCAGGTTTGGACAAGAGGCAGCATGAGTGGCTGTGAGTCTTTGGTGCTCCCGTCAGCAGCCGTGAGCGTCCTGATCACTAATCCCCTCAATCATCCTCAGCCCCCGAGACAAAAGCTCTGAAAGCCGAACTCTACAGGGGAAGTCAAGCCCTAAACCTCATGCCTATGTTGAAAGCTAGACGACTAAATTTTAGCCTCGTTCCTGAACCCTGTAAAAGCCCTATTACAACCTTCCAGTCGTCACACGTTCCAGTCCATGTGCCATTGCGGGGGTGTTGTTTTTGGCTTACGTCATCGACTTTGAGGAAGCCTTTGGGTCCTGGAATTCACACCCGGTCTGGACTGCAGCCTAAGCTCGGCTTTCGAAGCACATATGCCCGGAGCATTCGGCAGCTGTTGAGGGCACTGCGTAGCTTCATGAATCAGTGGGGATTTTGAGCTGCCTTACAGCAGCCAGACCTGCTCTTTCAAATGGGTTGAGGGCTTCACCGTACAGATCCTCTACACCTGAGGGTGGCTATAACCAGGAAAGAGCCCTGAACCCCGCCCGTCTTTGGCGCGTTAATTGAAAAAGCTTTGAGCTTCAGAGTGTTTTCCCATTTGGAGTTGTTTTCAGGTGTTGAGGGGGTAGTGCGGGATTCAGAGCTTGTTCGGCAAAACCCTTCTTGTAGCCTCTTATAATGCCGCAGATCTCAGCAGCTTCATGTCTATGATGGTCCTGATTGTCGTGGTACTCGCAAAATCCATCACTTGAGCGGTCGTAAGTGGTCGTACAGCAAGATCCAGGACAAAGGCCCTAAACTGGCCCTAAACTTTTCGAAGCCCTGAACGTCCCTGAACCCTTAGCTCAGCGTCCAGGGCTTCGGCTTCGGAACCACTCCACCATCGGAGTGCCCCAACCAACTGGCATTGAATCTACTGCCCCCCCGAGCATGTAATGCTCCATCCTGCTTCCCCAAACACACATTAAGTAATGCATCCCTGAGTATAGAAACACAAAAGTGCTCAGGCTTGTGTTAACTGTTCTTGTGCTTTAGCGAAATTTTCGGGTTCGGGAAGTTCAAGGGATGCAGTATGTTATGTTACTTTAAGCTGCAGTTGTGGTGTGCGAAAGCTTGCGGCGCGGCCAAATTAGGGAGCCTAGGCTTGGGCTGGAATGAGCTCAAAGGGTGTCATACTACTCCCTCTTGTGTTCAGCATCCTTGCTTCGCATTGCGTGTCAATGCGTGCCATAGATCAATTGATTTGTATGATGTCGATTGGTAGAAAGCTAGGCTTAGGCTACGCATTCTACGATTTGTAATATTGCTGGGTTGATCTCGGCATTGAGAAAGGGAAGCTGGAATTGGGAATTGCCACAAAGTTAATCGGTCTTCTTGGTTTGGTTGTGCAGAGCGGTGACCACTCAAAGGTAAATTATCCATTAAATATGCGGCCCTTTGCAGCGTCCCGGATTCTGTCGTGTCTCTGTGACACTCATGTTGGCATGCGGGCTGCGGTGCGTGGTGCCTGTCAGATGTTGCGTTGGTTGTGTATTCAGTGGCTCTTTCAAACAGAGCATGGCAGCCAGCCATGCCCGCTGTAAACTCAAAAGCATCTGCGAGCTGGAGAGTTTCAGCAGTCTGCAAACAGTCCACACATGTCACACATGTCACCCCTTTCTGCAAAGCAGCAGCGATGAGTTGCTGCTCAAGCAGGAATCCTTCTAAGAATTTCTGTTGAATAGCATCCTGCAAGTCTACACTCCTGAATCACGGCTGCGCGGCCAATGTCCAGACCATGGCGCACTTGCCTTGCTGCAGAGGTTGCTTTGGCAGGTTCGGCTGCTCGGTTGCAACGGATGGAAGCATGGGGCCACAAAGCAAGTTCACGTCCCTATAGTCTGCACACTTTCCTTGGCACAAATTTTCGTCCACTTGCACCATGAAGAATTGCAGACTGATGTCGACGAATTGCCCACGGCGTTTCTTCCTCTGCGTTGGTTCAGAAGTGATAGACAAGCTCTTGGACAAGCCGCGCGTTCGGAGCACGAACCGTGCCGAGGTCATAAGCGACCGACCCCACAACATCGAGGAGTTTCCATTTCTTATCCTGTTCATGTAGTTTTTCGGCCATCCGCAGCGACACAGTCACCATGCCGCTGTGAAATTAAGACTGCACAAAGCTCACGAACAGTCGATGTCCTGCGCTTTGTTGAATCCCACCTTCGTTCGCCAGCAAAGGATCTGGTCTCTGGCATGAGCATTCAGGCTCTCAGCTCCATAGCCCAGAGTTGTGGGATTTTGGGGAGTCTTTGGGTTGCTTGGAGCTGAAGTGGGTGCCATGACCTGCAGCGGCTTAAGGTCTTGCAGTTGCATGGTCTTGTCTCGTGACTCGGAGGGGCCTTAAAAAGCCACTCAATCTCGAACCCTAAGCCACCCGGCTAATGTTCAGATTGCTGGGCCAGCTAGGTTGGCCTGCCATGCAGGCAGTCAACCCTATGTTGTTTGCGCCTTTCCTGGTGCTCTGCGTGCCGCTTCTGCTGCTGGAGTGGAGGATATCTCCCCCGAGCGTACCGGCCTTCCATGTGCGCAACATGCAGGACGAGTCTTTGTCCAGCCTTGTGCACGAAAGGCAGGAAGCCAACCAACTGAGTGCGCACATCCGGCATGGAGACAGGGTTTGGAATCTCGGCGTTGACATTGGCACTTCGTGCATCACCATCGCGAGGTTGTCTGGGAACTTGAATGAAACAGTTTGTGTGGAGCCGAACACGGTCATTTTGCCAAAAACACGGGATGCTTGGCTCAAGAAATCAGCGACTTGTGGACAAAGCAGCCACGGAGCAGCGAGAATTGTCATGAAATGTTCCATTGCATTTCTAAGGAGAACATGGCCCGAAATGGCGTCGGAGATGCCCATCTGCTGAGCGGGATCGTCGCCGACGCAGCCCATTGCCCAGAGTCAGTGCCATTTCAGGGAGACGAAGAACTCCATCGTGCGGAAGATGCGCGGCTTCCCCGCGAAATGTCCTACCTTGGAATAAAGTACAGCGTTGAAAGCTGCTACAGCCTGCCGTATTTGGCATCCAGGTTTGGCATGCCCGATGTTCTTTTTGCTGATTGCGAGGGCTGCCTTCCAATCATCATTCGACAGTTTCCATCTTTCTTCTCAAGACGGCAGCTCCGGTTGATCATCTACGAGATGGATGGAGACCACCAGACCTATGAGAATATGCATGAGTCCTTGGTTGTGGCTGGGTTCAAACTGTTGGAATTTGGCTTCGTGTGCGTCTGGACGCGAGAGCTGAACCCTGTCCTTAACTTGTGGCCGATCTATCACAAGCTCCTGGCACCAAGCATCCTCACTTTCGTGCTAGACATACTCATGGCCTACACTCTTCCAGCCCGGCTTGCCGCGGTGCCATTCTGGCGATGCTCGGCCCTTTGAGGAATTCGAAGTGTTTTTGCCATCTCGTGCCCATGCAAAGCTCCTTACAGCACCACCACCCTTCTAATTATCCTTCTACTATCTTCTACTCGTAGCTCCATGAAAAGCACTTATCAGGATTTCTTCCCATCACCCACTGTATCGATGGCACCTTCTGTGAGCCTTTCGGGATCTTGACCCAATGCGTCCTAGCGCCGCTATGTGCCGGTGAAGACATCCCCGACTGGCGCCTTTTTGGAGGCCTCGCCTATCCCGACGACTGGATGAAGCCGCGCCACAAGCTCTCGAAATGGTCACGACAGGGCCTCTTGGTTCAGGGGGGTTGTTTTAAAGATGTTCCGAGGCTTTATGATATGGTAAGGTTTTCGAGAAGGGGCCCTTGTTTTGATGTTCCAGGCAGGTCCACACAAAGTGCGCTCGTTTCGGAGGCTTCTACACCCTGGTGAAGTGGTTCTTCCTCTGGGCCCTGGTCGCCTGGCCGGCGGCTCTACGAGTTTCCGGGTCCAAGATGGCAGCCTCGAGGCTCATGCACCGAAGCTCAACGAAGCTGAGAGGGGCTTTTTGCGGGCTCCGGCTCCAAGGTTTTGCACCCCCCCCCTCCCCCGCGCCCCCCCCGCCCCCCTCCAGGGTTTAGTTGGTGCTTTCTCAGGGCGCTCGGAGACGTTCCCATGTGCTCCATGTGCTCACCATCATGCAGCTCAAAGTGTCGTAGGTCTGTGGGGCATGGAACGGCCGATAAGCCGAGTCAACATGCCGCAGTATTTGCATTTGCATTTGCGATCGCAGCTCACGAGTAGGAGCCAAGCGCGGCGTGAAACACTACAAGCAACAAGTTGCCCGGCTGTTCAAGACAGCAACTCGCTCCGGCACGTATGCTACAGCGTGCGAGGAGTCAAATCCCACCAAAAGCTAGAAGAATGTACAGAAGAATGTACAGAAGAGTACAAGCGCCACTCAGAAATGAAATGAAAGAAGTGCATGGAAAGACAATCGTACCTCTCATTCAAGTCAAGGACAGGGTCTCATCGGGAATATCAGAGGCACGTTGCATCCATGCCAAGTAAGAATTGCACGTGGCAGTCTGCAGATCCTCTTTTGTCGCAACTGCGGTGGTGCGCCCGTCATCCGTAACCCAGCTCATCCATTTCCCTGCCACATAGCGATGCAGAATGCATTTATAGTGACCACTAGTGGTAGTCTCGCCCAGATGATATATCAGCGATCAGATAGTATGCACAGAGAGTCACGGTGGCAGCATTTGCACGAACAGGAATGAAATATGCACGACCAGCCTCGGAGCACACAGGATCGAACATCTTTTGCGTGCCTGCCATGGAATGGAGTTGCCAAAACGTTTGATCTGTATCAGCAAAAAGGGTGGTGATGGCGAGAAGGGCATATACACAAGTGGTGTGTTGCGAAGGTGGAAATCCTCAAGTTCCATCGGAGCCGCCTGTGTTGCCCATGCCCCAGTGCAGTCAGCAAGAGACTGCTCACCTGGTGATACGGTCACTTGTGTGTGTCTGTTTAAACCATGGTCAAATTTTCTCACCAACTTGCCCCCCTGCACAAGCCAAGCTTCCCACGTCCCAAAACAGAGGATTCGCTGCAGTCTGCCCAGGACAAAAATCTGCAAACTCGGCTGCATCGTGCTGACTGGTAATGTCTGACCAGCCTTGTAAAAGAATACGCCATGATAAGAGACCTGTGAGCTGAAACGGTGTGATGGAACGTTGAAGCAGCACACGAAAAGCCTCCCAGGAGCGCCCCAGGAATGAGCACAGGTCACCTTCACACGCTGCCAAGCACCAAGCATATGACAAAGCGAAGGAATTTTCATAGCAAAGATTGGATGGATTCAAAAGGGCAGAAGTCAAAGCAGCCTTGTAAGCTCCTGCTGTATCGCCGGTCGGGCTTGCTTGATCTGGAGGCCAGCGATCAGCAAAGACGCCAACCCGCGCCAGCGATTCAGGATGTGAAACAGGTCGTCGCCGGATGCATGCCGCAGTGATATTTCTGAAAGAAAGGTGGCAACGGGCCCCTGCATCTCGCCCGTCAGGCGACGTGTCGCCTGGAACTTGTGAAGCAACCCCTCCGGGGATAGCTCCAGGAACGTGCGGATCTCTGTCAGGTCCTGAAGAAATGAGGCGGGACTCATCGTCGCAAGTTGGGTGTCCGGAACGAGCTCCTCCTTCTGACTGTCCCACCTCATGTAGTGCCAATCCCCGCCTTGGGAAAGCCAGCCTTTGCGCTTCAGCGCAGCAACTTTGGTGGGATCCCCCAGAAGACCCTGGTGTCGCTCCTCTATCTGCTGCAGAAGGAAAAGCATCACTGCGCCCCGCAAGGTTTGGCGAAGTTGCGTCCTGTCGGCCTGGTGTTGTTGTCGCCGGCGAACCATCTCCTGGTACATCTGCAATACCACCGAGTCGCTCGCCTGAGAGTTCTTCATCGTCCAGACATGTGTTGTGTCCTCGGCCATGCGCAGTAGCAGATCTTCTTGCCTCAAGGTCAGCTGGGTTACCATTGACAAGAGATCTCTCGCGAAGTGGTCGGGCCCCGCATTCGAAGGCCTTGAGTAGGAGCCCTCGGTTGTCCAGGGGCTCTCCCATGGGTCCAGCTCTGGATGGTCTGGGGGGAGAGGAGATCGTCGTGCCGGATCCGGTCGCCTCCTTTTTCCCAAGCCCTGAGGCATGCGCCCCGGGGTGCGCTGGTTCCTTTGTGGCGTGGCGATGGACCTGTGAACCGGTGTGCTCGGGGACGCCTGGACCTGCTGAAGTCCCAAGTTCCCTTGGGGCTGCGCCGGGGCTGCCACCATCATCTGGGCAGCTTGTTGCAGCTGTGGAAGATAACCATCGAATAACAGCTGATCGTCCTGCGCCATCCTGACAGCCAAGAATTTCTGACAAGAGACACAATTGAAAGGCCACTGCGCATTTATTGGCGTGAGGAGCGGGCCTTTTCAAGAACGTACCACACCAGCGGCAGGGCGATATAATGCTGCGAGCCAGCAGCTTGCATTTGATGCTCACTTGTGAGGAGCATTTTTGCCATTCAAGCAAATGAATGCGTCGCAAATGCGTTTGCAAATGCTGAGAGTCAACAACCCATTGCCCGCGCAGACCACAGTGGTTCTTCAAGTGTGAGATTTCGGAAAAGTGGTCTAAGGCATGGTGCCAACCCTGCTTGCGCAACATTGCGCGTAAAGTTTCATTATATAGCATCGGGCGCGGTTGCTGAGATGTCGGAAGACAGAGGGCACTTGTCGTGGATGCAGAGGTCCGTCGTGTCTGCTGAGTATGGACCTTCCACATCTGAGCACAGAGTCTGCCCTCAATGTGTCTCTGAAGATCACCCCATGAACCAAAAGCATGACCGCAGTGCGCACACGTGGGTAGACCTTGTATAGAATGCCGCCATCTATTGAAATGACTGCCTGTCAATGGCAAGGATGCCTGATGTTGTTCATTGTAGTGATGCTTAAGAGCCTGAAGAGTCCCAAAAGAACTCCAGCCTTGGATCGCTATACGGGCTTTCCTGTGGTGCAGCCACATTTCTCTGATGGGTGCTTGCACTTCTCCACACTGCCAGGCCTTGGCAGGAGCGGGTCGAGGACCTGGCTTCTTTGGAAAGACATCTTCCATTGCCTGCGTAAGCAGATTGTTCAGCTCTTCAGGCGTGGCGGGGCAGTGAGTGTCGAGTAGGTGGTGGACTACATGTTGCAGCCTTTGGGCGTCCTCTGTGTGATGCTGTGTAGCGCAGCAGAGGGCTTCCTTGTCATATGAGATTGCTGTCGCGCTGTTGCTCTTTGCATCCACTCGGCGGCGGGACCCCTGATAAGTGCGCAGCGGGAGACTGCCAAAGACCGGAAAGTGACGCCCGCCCTGTTGCCATGCAAAGAGAGACATATTATGCTCGGGACATGCGTGTCTTGCTTGATGATCAACGCACGCACGTCTGCGCAGGATATAGTCAAGCTGAGTGCAGCCCTGATGGGGCGAGAAAGTGTGAGCTCCAGCAGCAGTGGTCCAGGTGTTGGTGGCAATGAGATCATGAGTTTCAACAAGCTGTTGAAAGCGGTCCTGATCCACTGGTCGAGTCTTTGGTGGTCTGACTGCAGGACCCACCCAGTTGGTAGAGGAGTGAAGCGTCGTGTTGAAGTCGCCTGCACAGATCAGGGTGTTACGTACAGGGGTCTGTGTGATAAGGAGGGAGAGGGCCTGCCATACAGAATCTCGCTTTTGTGTAAGCGACGTTGTTTGGCATTTTGGGCTCCAAACATATTGATACACACAGCACACATCTATCGAGCATCCGGCTCGGGGTGGTGTGACACGAACATGCAGGAGGCGTCCCGGAATGACTGATCGCCGTCGAATCGCCTCGGCCATAGGGCACAGACGACGGTTGACGCACACCATCACCCCTTGTCCTTTGTGCCCCGCTCCAGAGTACACGATGTGCCAGTCATCGGTGGAATATTCCACGTCAGATGGCCGCCCGCATTCCTGAATAAGTACAAGGTCAAGGGTGTGAACGAAATCTGACATCCACAGCATGAGCTCATCATATGATGCACTGGAGAGAGGCCCGGTGTTGAAGGAGACAATACGTAGTCGTTTATTGGTGACGCGAGGCGGTGCACGCTGCGGGGTGTTGATGATGGGTAGGTTGCGCTGAGCATTGAGCGTGTCAACAGTACACCATTTTCCTTTGTACATAGTACCGCCATGCAGGCTAGAGGCCGCGCGAGAGCACGCCCTGTGGTACGCGCGCTTTCTGGCAGGAGTATAGACTGGTAAACGCCATGCACTTTGCTACGCCGTCCTAGCAAAGCTGGAGTCTGGGTGAAAAGGACGACTCCCGCTGATCGTGTGAGGATCAGCAAACCTCGTGTTTGAGTCAGGAAAGGATGGCTGTATGCGCGCAGAAAGGAGTGGCTTAATCTGAGCAAGAAAAAGAAGTAGACATCTGACACCTCCGGATTTGGGACCGGAGCGGCTCGCAAGTGGTGAAATGTGAATGCGCGTGTCTGAGTCTGAGGTCCCTGCTGTCCTGGTAAGAGAAGGGGAGGTGGATTCAATGGAGGGCACATTCGGAACAGCCTTCGGCCAGTCTTCAGTTCCATTGGCGAACGGAGTGCATGCAGGCTGCTTTCTGAGTGCGCCACCATCAGCGGACATTTTGCCCAGGAGGTATATGAAGGGGTTCGGCAAGCCACCAGTAAGGCTGGTTTGAGACGAAGTGATACTGGCGCGACACAAACACAGACATGCAGCAAGCACATCCGAATCGGCATTGCTGGATCGATACCTATACCTGGCCATGTGAAGCACTCGAGACCAATTGCGCAAAAATGCACACCAGAGGCTCACATGATGGCGCCGCTTATTCTGATATGCACGCAGTGACGCCTTGTCATATCTTGACTGCTTCCTGCGAGACAGGTGCCTCCATTTGAATCTGGCCCAGGGATGACTGCGAGTCATTTGCCCCAGGCATCCAGGAGTGAATTGTGCAAGGTACCCCAA